TACAAATATCTTGCTGGGGACCTGTGGCAGATGTCTTCCAGCTCTGGTCCAGCCATACCTCCTCCTTCCCACCGCACGCACAGCCCTGGTGAGACCCCACAGTATGTAGCCTCCTATTGTGCATTGCTGTATGTGAATTGCAGTCCTCCATGCAGTATCAGCTATAATGAATTGCTGGAATCTGTAGTCTTCCATAGCTGGTGGTATTCTGCATTGCTGTATAATATATTGGAGATTTGTAGTCCCTCTAGTCAGTGGCAGATATACCAGTGTTGCTGAGACTGGGCCCTGGTGCTTAATCACGGTCCTAAAATTAGCTTGTATTGTTTTAAATGGTCACATGACCCCAAAAAAAGTGCATCTGTATCCCTAGTTAATTTGCCCACAACATGCATTTAAGGATCCCCACCACTGAACTGGTATAAAACGACATACTTTATGTGTATTGACTTAAAGCATTTAAGTTCCTAGCTATGCAGAATCCTAGTTTGCAATCTTACACAAATTATAGAAACAAATCCCATTCTACAAGTCAAGAATCAAAAACCAGAGTTTACAAAAATGGTAACCAGTTTATTTTAAAAAGGTAAAATTCAGAAGTACTGCACAGCAGCAATTACATGTTTCTGCACCTTTGATACCCAAAGTATTATTTATACTGGGCTCCCTCCATCTTGAATCACAGGTATTGCCAACTTCTTGATAACATGTTCACATCACTCCCAGGTAGTCTGCAAATAGAAGTTCAGTTATGAATCTCATGCATGTACTACATACACCAACACAAATAATGCACGAGAAAGATATAAAATGGAAGTGACCATTTAAGTTACAAAGCCATATTATGCAATTAAACCAGATATCTAAACTTTTTTTGTCAAGAAACACCCCCCCCCCCCCCCCCTAGTCTGCCAATATCTGCTGTAAAGCCTAGACTTAGCCACCAGAAATTGATGGGCTCTCATAGTCATAGTATTTGAGGTTGGATAAAGACACAGGCCCATCAAGTTCAACCTATTGCATGTATACGAGTCTGATCTTGTTCTTAAGTGTATCTGTACCCCTGTATGTTATGGTCTGAGGAAATTGTCCAAGTGTTTTTTGAATGATTCAAAACCCTCAGCTGATACCATCGCTTGTGGCAGCGAGTTCCAGTGCTCTGGCAATGTATTTACATGCACCATGTTTCAGATGCCGCATGACAAAGTAGCTCTGGAAATGTCAAGACACTTCTAAAAGCAGCATTTCCAAAATTGTTACAGGATTCTGCATGGGGCCAGGATGAAATGGCTGTATGCTGCCCAAGCAGAGCAACCATCTGGTCTCCAGAAGTCCGGGCTAAACGACACATCCTCAATTTGGTGCACATACCGGGCCTGCAAGGGTATGTGTGCCAAATTGAGGACGTTTCCTTTGGCCTGACTTGGTCACCATGCAACTGGAGAGCTAAAAACCAATTCTAGTATATGACAGTACATGATACATGTACCAAATTGAAGACATCAGCTGCACTCTTTGGGCATGATTATAGAAGAGAATATTCTTACCTTACACATCAGAATGTGAGGGCATCAACCTTTTCAACAGTCGAGTCCGAGTATGCAGAATAACCACCTGTTAAATATGACAAAAGTCAGTTCATGCTTTGACCACATTTTCCTTATATAAAGCAAAGAGGAAAAGCCCCAAGCTGAATGTAATGTGCAAGTTTTGTCTGGGCTTTGCAACTACTCAGTGGTGCAACGAGTTCTGTAAATTGTTACAAAAATGTAATGCCTGTAACAAAAATCCCTGCACCACATAGTCTGATTAAAGGGCTCCAATCAGCCAAAAGTTGCTTTCCAATAGGGGGATCTTGAGAGGGAAGGATGTTCACAAGAGCAGGTTCTCAGACTAAATAAATATGGTATGTTTTTGCTAAAAGGTTGTGATCAGGCAATAAGGCACCTAGACAAAAATTAGCACTTAACCCTTGCAGTGCAGGGGCAGCCACACTGCAAGGGTTAATAAATCCCACCCAGAGATCTGCTTTAATAATGTAACTGAAGACAATGATTTGGCTGGGCACTCATTGAGCAGAAACTACAGTGTTTTCTTTTTAAAGAAGACATTTTACTTAAACTTGGAACCAGCCTATAGAAAAAACAGGTTTATGCTGAATGGTGTGCATGCTTCCTGTATCAGCGATTTACTGCTAGCCTTTTCAGAACAATCCCTAGCATAGCAAGCTGATTCAGACCAGCCACTAAAGCCAGTTAACATTAAAGTGTATGAATAGGCAATTTTTACCAGATAAGGGTTAAAAGCCCCCATCATGTAGTTAGATTGTGGTCCATGCCCCTTTAGAGAATTGCCCTCCATTCGTCGTGGTGACATCCATCAGAAAGTGATTGCTAATCTAATAAAGTTCACCAGACTAAAGGGCAAGTCTAAATTTGTCAACTTGTTTTGGTTACAACTGCTGTTCCAAATTCTTTTCCAGCCCCTTGATTAAGGCCAGCAAGTAAAGGCTGACTACACAAGACAGGTTTTTAACCCTTTCCTGCATCCATTCTAAACCAAGAAAGAAAAGTTGGTATACATACACCTTAACTTTCATGAAGATCAAAATAATCACAAAACAAAGTCATGACAAAGGAAAGTCTGTTCTTACCTACAAGCACATAACTGCCCCTTCTGGCTCGCACTGCCTGCTAGGCTTAACATGAAGGTTCTGCATTCTGGTCTGACTCCTTCCTTCCGATGAGCTGATGAATCCCTTTTTCTTGCTAGTTGCTTAAGTGTCAGCTTATCTGAATTTAATGATGATCAGCTACTCTGCTGTAGCAAGACTGGTCTGAGCTGCTGAATATATCTTCCTTGCTAGCAGTCATTGGAGATCTTATCTATTCAGTTACTGACTGTCTTCATCCTCAGGCGATCACGCTAGCTGAGTTTGCTTACACCAGGTACATTTGGCACTCAAGCCTTTTCACCACACACTTCATGCAGATTACACTAGGCCACTTCTGACAGCTTGGCTTTCACATGTTTGTCATCAGGTTTACCAGTATATATGGTTAGATACTGAAGCTTTACACACTGCCCAAAGCAAAGCCAGTCTCTGGCCACCAAGTCATCCCCCCAACACATGAACCCTTCAATGAGAACCATGAGGCGAGTGATTTACACTCATCCTCAGAGCCGAGGTGTGACATTGAAATAGTCACGTCGGCTTTATAGATCAGGAAGTGAGCGAACACAATGTACTTTGCTCACTTCCTGATCATCTCCCTGCAGAGAGCGGCGACTGTCACCTCATTTATTCCCCCTCCGATCCTCCAGCGCTGAGTGGAGGAATGGATAGGGAGGGCACAGCTAGCTCTGCCTCTAGATAGGCAGAGCCAATTGTCACTCACACAGCTGGGTGGATCTGAACAGTATTGTCAGGATTCGTCCCAGCTGCGGCGCTCAGTAAATGCGCTATATACCGAGCTTTGGGTCACAGGTTAGTATATGTCCTCCTGTGACCCTAAAGAGAAGGGCTAAAAAGATAACCTCATAGTTCTCTTTAAAGCAGGTAGACCTGCAGCCTGGACTTGTCCAAGTTAGAGTCAAGCCACCAGCTGCATCTGACCCATTTGCTGAAATATGCATACTCTCATAAAACACCTTTGTGATGGTGACTCTACAATCTAGCTTTTTCTTTATGGTGCACAATGAAAGATTGTGCACCATCTCCTGCTAATGGGGTGGGGTAACTGGCAAGTTTGACAGTCTAGAATTATGTTCTGGCCCCACCTCCTTGTTCCTATAGGCCCATCATTATGATGATTGGCCATACAAGTCACATGACAAGTGTTCAAGCATGCAGATCACAAAACCCTGGGACTCCACACCCTGCTTGTAGAGAAATGCATACAATTATGGAGAGGTGCCATTTAAGTCCTTAAAACTGAACTGCAGCTTTACCTTCAGCCTTCCAGTTGTAAAATGCTCTGCTCCTTTAGCATCAGAAGCCCACTTACTTGGTGGTAGGGCATCAGCATAATTTAGCCCTCTCTAATCTTACTGTCCCACTTCTCACTCATTGGATTTTTAGCTTTCAAACACCGAGGAGGCGCAGCATTACATGTGGGTGTTACCTAGGGCAGTCTGCATGCATCCCACTGCTCCAGGCAGGCATAAAATCAAAAGGCATTTCAATACCTTCAAACGACTCCCAATGCTTGGGGACGAGTACCAAGGCAGGGTTTTGAGGTTTGCAGCAAGCCATGAACAGCACCATGCTGACCTCTCCCCACCAGTCTTGATCTGCCTGCACTACACAGAAGCAGACTGACATTGCAGAGTCTAAGAGGTCATTAAATCTGAGGTTTTAGTTAAATTAGTGACTTGAAGGTTTAGTTTAATTGATAAAGGAACCAGGGGAGGCAAAATTCAGACTACTCAATTTTAGTGCTGGAGCTGTGTAGATACATCTGTGTACAGTTCACTTCATCAAAGGCCGCTGTACATGGAATGCATCCTTCAGGTCTGACACTTTTATAGACCTCTAAGCATGTCATCAAGTCACCCTCATTCATATGGTTACCATGTCTGACTACCTGGTATAAAAATGAAGCAAAGTGTAAGACTTCTCCACCTACAGGTACATTTTCATGAATTAATATCAGCTAGGCTGTGGTAAGAGGAATCGATTAGCCTTTGTAAGCCTCAAACTGAAATCAAGAAATTGAGGCACTACCCACCCCCAAAATCATTAACTACTTTTATACTAGGCACTTTCAGGTTGTAAAAAAAAAAAAAAAGAAAAAAAAAATCACCCCACAAACCTCTCCTGGGTAACCCATGAAGAGTTACTCAAGTTACATGGCATGATAGTTATTGCTATGGGGCCTAGGCACTGACACTACTGCCAAAAGTTGGATTTCTACAGTCAAAATGTACTTGGAACCACAAACCTAGGCTTCTATACAGCCTTCAGGACGCCCATCATAAGAAAGTATGTAACACAGATTAAAAAAAGAAGGGACACATTTATTAAGAGTCATGTCTTTACAATAAAAAAAAAAAAATAAACTAAAAATGTCCTATACAATAAAACCCAGTCCTAGGAATGCTTGAAACTTCCACAATACATAATATTAAGTCTTCATAATTCTTCCTGTGTTTTTCCTCACACATAATGATTTGCTAACATTTCTTCATGTAGCAGCTATGCCCTGCCACAACTGTGCTTGGCTGATTTCAACTTGTGTAGTAACCTGTCGCTTGCCTGGCTGTCCTCTCCTGCTAAGCATTTCCTGTTGAATAATATGGAATAAGCGTGTTAATCTACACATGTCAAAGGCCAACGTGTAATGGCAGTTACCTATTCTGCATGATGTTCCATTAGAAACAAAACAGTTACGTTACAAGTAAGAAACGTACCTAAAGCACATTAAAATCTTCTTCCTCCACCACCATAACCACTGCTGCCAGTGGACCCACCTCCATAGCCACCTAAAGAAATATAAAAGTACATTTTTAGGATTTATGGAGGTACCTAGGTTTCAGCTCACAGTATAACAAAAGGGCAAACAATAACTGACCACTCCGCTAAAGACTGCACAAGTAGTATCAACTAGAAGAACCCAAATCTCAAAAGCTGAATTACATAAGCTTTACAGATCAGAGATGCCAGAAGAGACTTCCCTTCAATTTGTCTAGCAATGTGTTGTCAATGTTCAGTTTCTGAAGTGCAAGCTAAAATACTTTAGGTTTATGTATTCATTTAAAGACATCAATGGGAGCACATAATCTATACCTCCAAATGTGCTAGTAACCATCATAGGAATGGACTGATACAGGACCAGAAACCCAACCAAGTAAAATACTTCCGAGGGCTTTCTGTCCACCAAGGGGGATTACACCAGAAAAATACCTGACACAGGTATGTGGAAGTGCTTGCTATGTGTCAAAAGGGTGGGGGATTGGGAGTGTATACAGCACTATGCTGGCTTAGCCTATTTCCAACAAATTTCAAATGAGTTTCTCACCACCACCACCATAAGGTCCAGAATTTCTTCCACTGTAGTTTCCACCTTTCATTGGCCCAAAGCTTGATGACGACTGGTTATTGTAGCTGCCAAAGTCATTGAAGTTGCTGGCACCGCCGCCACCACCACCGCTGCCACCAAAGTTTCCTTAAAAGAACAAACATTTAGTTCAGCACAATTCATTAAATGTTTAACACCAAAGTAAGAAACGTTGCAATATGAGTGTGCCAATTACCATTTCCACCACCAAATCCACTTCCGCCGCCTCCTCCGCCACTGTAGCCATCATAGCCACCACTGCTTCCGCCATAACCACCTTGGCCTCCTCCATAACTTTGGCCACCTCCATATCCACGGTTGCCAGAGTATGGTGGGTTGTTTCCATAGCCATCACTGCCAAATCCATTGTAGCCGCCATCACCACCGCCGCCACCACCACCACTTCCATATCCACCACGTCCACTAAAACCACCTAGGAGGAAAGGTAACAAGCCATAAGTACAGTGAAAAAAACTTCATGACAATGCACCCAAATTTTTTTGGGGGGAATTTACAACTTACCACCCCTACTTCCTCCAAAGTTTCCTCCACGGCCACCAAAGCTGTCATTGCCACCAAAACCACCGCCACGGCCAAAGCTTCCTCCACCACCACCACGTCCTACAAAAGAATATATATTCCTCTGCTTACATCCTGCATAGTATGGAACTTTTAAGGTTCTGGTAACTACACTACAGCAATCAAGAATGAAAACCAACCAAAAACAAGT